GAAAGCTAGCTTCTCCTCCTATCCCTCCTGGCGGCATTCAGCGGGTGCGGGAGGGAAATGTTCCCTATTGCTATTCAAAATAAAAAATGTGAAATTCTGAACCATTTCATTTCATTGTGGCCCCAAACCGGTTACCATATCTCTTAAGTGGCCCTCGCTCTTCACAAGGTTGAGCACCCCTGGTGTAGGCAACCACCAAATGCTTTACTGAGCATCTTCTCCAGAAGATCCTTCTATCGTGCGGAACCCCTCCCTGGTTTCTATCAGAGTACTCCATTTCTGGTAGATTATAGAGATATGATATCCAACACAGAGTGATTGCTGTGAGGATATGTATGAAGATCCCAAGTGCCACGTCCTATTCAAACTATTGGAGAAGAAAAGGGTCCATTTGGTGGACTCCATAGGCACTATAACAGTGATGAATAAAATTATTGCTTTATTTAAGAAAAAAAAAAAAAACAGGGGGACAACAAATCTACTTTTTGGACAGCCCAATGCTTTTGTCCAGCTAGGCAAAGCTCTCCCCAACATGGTGGATCTCCAATACTGTCTTGGAAATGGGAATATCTTTCCTTCACATGCCTTTTATGGTGGTGGTGATGATGGTGTCAAACGTACAGGCTGGGGTGGGGTACAATTCCCTGACTGTCTAGGGAACCTGGTTCCCACAGGAGTCAAAACTTCCCAGCAACATTCTGGAACAGAGAACCATCAGATTTTCTCTGAAACACTGGAACTCCCTTCTGCCAAGTAATCCAGTTAGGATACAGTTGGACAATGCCACAACAGTGGTCTACATAAACCCAAGATGGGGGCATTAAAAGTCAAGCTGCCCTAACAGGAAGAAGTCTGATACTCTCCTGGGCAGAGGCCCACATTTCAGTTCTCTTGACCATCTACATCCATGGAGTGGATAACTGCCAGGCATACATGCTAAACCAACACCACTTAGGCCTGGGAGTGTGGTCTTTGCATCCAAAGATCTTTCAAAATCTCTATCAAGGGTGGCGAAAAACATATTTGGACATCCTGGCCACCAGGCTCAAAAACAAGCTGAACAAATTTGAGGCCAAAACCAAGGATCCTCTAACCTTCAACATAGATGCTTTGGTATTAATAAATCTGTCAGGGTTCTGTCCACAGCAAAGTTCTAGAAGAGCTGGCACTCCTGCAAGTACCCTGCATGGCCGCAGAAGTGCACGTTGGCGAAGATCCATGTGCATTGGCGCACGGACGCGAGCCGGAACACGCATGCACACTGACGAATAGTTGCATACGCATGACTCTCTTTGGCGCCAGACGGCCTTTATAAGGAGGCTCATCACTCCCTCAAGTTGCTGGTTGATCTCTGGCTCCCCAGTACCATTGTCTGTGTTCCTTGCTGTAGTGATTTCCTGTTACCGACCCGGCTTGCTCTTGGACCTGTATTCTCTGCCTGACTCCTGACCTGACCCTGGCTTGGCTAACGGATATTCTCTCCTGCTCCTCTGTGTATGACCCTGGCTACTCTACTCACTACGTCTGCTCCGATCTCCACCTGGCACTTGACCATGGCTTTGAACTGACTACTCTGCGGTCCTCTGAAGGCTTGCATACCTCTCACAGGTGCCACCTATCTGCAGACTCCATTCCAGTGCGTCAGCCGTGCTCCTGGGTGTACCTCTGACCAGCACTCCTACAGGCGACCCGTGCTACTTTGGGCCCGACTCCTGCTGTTCCATATCCAGGGGAGTCTGGAACTTAGCCGCAAGGGAAGCCCTCTCTCCATTGGCCTCCATCACCAGGTACGTGATAAAATCCCACAAATGTCTCCACCAAATGGCCCCTTTTCTTCTCCAATCCATTTCTAGTAGGGTGGCCGTTGTCCCAGCGTATGCATGCTTTTTGCCATCCTGAACCTGTTTTACAATATTGCTTCTAACTTCGCACCCATTTAATATGCTGACAGTTCCAGTTACTCGCTGTCTGATCATTCGGCCAATTACCTACCTGGTGAAGTAGAAGCCCTAATGACAATACATCTACGCTGCTAATCAAATTCCTCTAACTGCAGATATGAAGCAAAGGGGTCAGTGACAGTGACTTAAAGCGGAGTTCCACTCACCTGTCAAAAAATAAAAGTCAGCAGCTACAAAAACTGACAACTCATGGGGCCCCCGGGCAATAGGGGATCATGGGGCCCCTGTGTCCTTGCCCAAACTCAAAAAAGCCTATGAAAAAGGTACCAGGGGCATCTCATGGGGCCCCCTACTGACCCTGGGCCCTCAAGCAGTGCCCGAGTTTCCAAATGGTCAGTCCGCCCCTGCTGCTGACTGTTAAAAAAACAGCCACTTACCTGTCCCTCGGTCCCATGGTGTGTCTCCAGCTCGTTTCACTGGCCGTCCTGGATTCCAGGAGGCCGGCATTTTCAGTGTGGGCACCCGGCTGTGATAGCTTGCGGCTTCACAGCCAGGGAACCCACTGAGCGAGTAGCCCTGCGCTTCGTGAATGGTCCTGTAGTTTTATGGGACCTGTCACATGTCCCAAAAGACTACAAGGAGAACACCTTCCACTTCCGATCACCTAGGCGATTGGACCGGAAGTGGGAGCGGGTACCTGTCAAATTCGGGTACCCGCTCCCCAAAGGTGCCAATCCTTAATGGGGAGCGGAGGAGCAGTCCTTAAAGTGGAACTTCCCCTTTTGGGTGGAGCTCTGCTTTAACAGTAAATCTCAGGGCAAGTGAGCGCTTAAAATAGATTATAAAATTAATAAATAAATGAAATGAGACAATAGCAGCTGAACACCAAAAAAGGTACCGTATAAACCTTCAAAATAATCAGAATGCATAAAAGGGGGGGGGTGCAGCGCTAAATTAATAAATACACATTCATATAAACCAATGTTAAGGTGCTGATAAAGTGCAAAAAGGTGACTATAAATAATGAGTATAGTCCATAACGTGATCAAAACCCAAGAGAGTCTTCAAAGAACTCCAATGGCTGGATTCGTGGATGCGGTGATAAAGGTATAAAGATTGCGCACTCACCAGATACGCAATCCAAATGCGCATTCAAAACAGAAATCCTAGGGTCCTCATATGGATCTGGTCAGATCTGGTCACAAAAGCCCCTCGCCACTTGATAGTGTTGCCACACATAGATGAAAAAAGGCCGCTCTGCAGACGTAAAAGGCTCCCACCGGAGCCCAAAGAACAAAAGGAGGCCAAATAGTGTGATACCTTAATGGCAAGGGGTATTTATTCCCAAAAAATCACAATACAAGCAGGGGCAGAAAAGATACTGACCATACATAGGTTTAGCAAATGGCCGCCGGGGCCCTCGTGGCGCCGGTCGGCGTGACGTCACACCGCTGTAGCCGCTTCCTGACGCGTTTCGTGCGAAGGCACGTAGTCATAGGGGGTTAGCTTACCTGCTTTAACAACCTCTCCAATGGGACCCATCTTACCCACCCCTGGGCCCCATAGCAGTTGCATGGGCTGCCGTGACTACAGTTACACCACTGGGCAGCAAGCTGGCACAAGGTGGTCACCTAAGGAGTGAATTGTGAGTTGGTGGTGGTCGGGCCCTCCGCTGCTGTATATTTGAAAGCAAGAAGTCCCGGAGCCCACGCCCGACTTTAAAACCAACATCATTCTTCAAGTGCCAGAGAGTCCGAGATATGATGTGAGTCACACTCGCCGTGTAAATGACAGCCAGTAAATATGGATTAACACAAACAGTGAGACGCGTGAGATAGACGGGGATCCCGCTGCGGCCTATTCTCACGCAGTCACCCAGGAACGCCATGTTTGGTTAAGGTAATCACAAACTGGTGAATGGTAGAAGGGACTTTTCTTCTTCTGTGTACAAACATTGTCCTGTCCGCATGGCAACCAGCAAAGACTGACCGCCGCACCGAGACCTGCAGATTACAGAGAATTGCCAACATGCAGGAGTGGTCAGCGCTACTTGCCCACCAATCACAATGGTGGAAAAATACGAGTCTTCTCTGTATAAATATGACATAAAGAGCCGTGTTGGCATGTTCCTAGCGTGGCTTCTCTGGAATACCGCCTGCACATTCAGAATCCCATTGGAAAATGTCCTATTCCTTGTCTAATGACAGATTTATATTTTTATCTTTTTCCTATTGACACTTTGTGATTGATTGATTGATTGATTGATTGATGGTTGGTAGATGCAGCAATACTCACCAAGTTGACCAATGAAATCCTGAACACACATGCACAAAAAAGAAAAAGTAATCCCATCACCTTAAAGCAGACCTTGCCTTTCAGCTCAATGAGGTAGGCTTCCCCTTCCCTAAATATTTATAACAAAAAACTCATCCAAGGGGAAAATATTTCGATTCTTTACTCACCTCTCCCCAATTTCTGTAGCATCAGGGTAGATGCCATCCTCCTGCCAGCAGTTACATAGCTATATACAAGGGGCGGACTGACCATTTCCAAACTCGGGCACTGCCCGAGGGCCTGGGGTAAGTAGGGGGCCCCATGAGATGCCCCTGGTACCTTTTTCATAGGCTTTTTTGAGTTTGGGCAAGGACACAGGGGCCCCATGATCCCCTATTGCCCGGGGGCCCCATGAGTTGTCAGTCCGCCCCTGGCTACATAGTTAGTCTGGCTGAAAAAAGACAAAGGTCCATCCAGTTCAACCATTAAAAAAAATAATAAATAAAAGTTATAATCTTACACCCACAGTTGATCCAGAGAAAGGGAAAAAACAGCAAAGCATGATCCAATATGCTCCTGCAGGGGGGAAAAAATTCCTTCCTGATCCCCCGAGAGGCAATCAGATATTCCCGGGATCAACTTTCCCTATAAACGTTAGTAGAGAGAGGGAGAGGAGCCTATACACCTGTGCAAGACTGAAGGGGAGGAGCCAGTACACCTGTGCAAGACTGAAGGGGAGGAGTTGGTACACCTGTGCAAGACTGAAGGGGAGGAGCGGGTACACCTGTGCAAGACTGAAGGGGAGGAGCCAGTACACCTGTGCAAGACTGAAGGGGAGGAGCCGGTACACCTGTGCAAGACTGAAGGGGAGGAGTTGGTACACCTGTGCAAGACTGAAGGGGAGGAGCCGGTACACCTGTGCAAGACTGAAGGGGAGGAGCAGGTACACCTGTGCAAGACTGAAGGGGAGGAGCGGGTACACCTGTGCAAGACTGAAGGGGAGGAGCGGGTACACCTGTGCAAGACTGAAGGGGAGGAGCTGGTACACCTGTGCAAGATTGAAGGGGAGGAGCTGGGAGACCTGTGCAGGACTGAAGGGGACGAGCTGGGAGACCTGTGCAGGACTGAAGGGGACGAGCTGGGATACCTGTGCAAGACTGAAGGGAAGGAACTGTTACACCTGTGCAAGACTGAAGGGGAGGAGCCGGTACACCTGTGGAAGACTAAAGGGGAGGAGCTGGGACACCTGTGCAAGACTGAAGGGGAGGAGCCAGCACACCTGTGCAAGACTGAAGAGAAGGAGCCAGTACACCTGTGCAAGACTGAAGGGGAGGAGCCTGCACAACTTACATAATTAGTCTGGCTGAAAAAAGACAAAAGTCCATCTAGTTCAACCATTAAAAAAGAAAGTTATAATCCTACACCCAAAGTTGATCCAGAGGAAGGCAAAAAAACCCAGCAAAGCATAATCCAATTTGCTCCTGCAGGGGAAAAATTCCTTCCTGATCCCCCGAGAGGCAATCGGATATTCCCGGGATCAACTTTCCCTATAAAAGTTATATCCAGTTATATTCTGTGTATCCAAGAAAGGATCCAGGACTTTCCTACAGCAATCCACTGAGCTGGCCACAGCCAACTCTGGAGGGAGTCTATTCCACATTCTCACAGCTCTTACTGTGAAGAAACCTTTCCGTGTTTGGAGATTACATTTCTTTTCCTCCAGATGTAAAGAGCGCCCCCTTGTAATGGTGAATGCTAAGTAGACCAAATCTTACAGGAAGACATTGCAGCACAGTGAAGGATCATTTTCTCGTCTGCCCCATATTGGAACTATATGTCCATTAATATGGAAAATCATTTATATGTACTGTAATTTTTTTCTTTCTTGTCGCATCCCCATGTCAGCCTACTGTGGGTCAGCTCTGGCCACTGACTCTTTCGGGACCTTCGACTAGACCCTTTAAATTACCTGCAACACATGGCAGAAAGCACAACAACACCCCTCCAAAAATATTTTATGTTGGCTGTAGAAACAACAGAAGAGGCAATCATTGGATCTGAGGAGACTTGCATGGGCACCATTCAGAGAATGCTTTGGCGGTTAAGTCACACCCTCCACCTAGTCCAGTCAGAAAGTACTTGGCAGAGAATGCTTTGGCTTTTTTTTGCAGACTGGCAGCCAAAACATGGCAGAGATGATGGAAGCCTTTAAATAGGCCCTTTAGTCAGCTGGCCACCAATAATTACAGCTGCTCGGGGCAACCTGACGAAGGCCTAACAGACCACGCCTTCCCTTTTGGCTCCAGCACTACTACACCAAAAGTGGTACAATCAGGTGAGGCATAGGATCTGGAGAGATTTGCCTGCTGGAGAAACAGAATGAGGAGGGAAGAGAGAGAACAAATGTGGTCCATATACTTACCACCTGAGCCTGCCATTCACCAAAAGGTAATGCAGGCAAAACCCTTAACTTACATAGAAAACTGCCAGTCCTGGGACACCCACTACCTGGAGGCTTTACCTCTTGCATGGAGCCATCTCCCTAGGACTGAACCTGGGGTGTGAAGGATGGTAGAGAACGAGGGCTGGGGTAGAAGAATAATTACCTTCATAGGGGCCTGTCCCGGTACTAGGATAGAAAAAGAATATCTGCACACTGGGCAGCTGAGAATTTAAAGGATCGTAGGCAGGTGCAGTCTAATTTCCCCAAGGTGGTGCTTGTCCGGATCGGCAATGCAGATGGAGGAGGAAGTAAAGAGAAACTGGATTTCTCTATGATTTCCTTGGTTCCCTGGGGCAGGGTTCTGATTGGCTACACTGGACTCAGGTGACCTTGGTGGCCATCTTGAGTCACGCAGAGTCTGTTTAATTCCCTGCCCCCGGGTGTTGGTGCGCACTTTGTGAGTTGGCTAGTGTGGGGACAGAGCTCCCGTCTGTCAGGGACAGCACTAGCATTATGGAAAGGTTCCAGAGGAGTAGGGAAAGCATAGGGTCTTCATCAGCAAAGCTCCCCTTTGGGTTGGACTGGCCAGGCCGCACTCCACTCTCCTTGGCCGGCGCTGTCTCCAGCTCAAGCCTACTCACTGCTGACTCTCTGTCAAACCGATGTGAGTTCCCCGGTCAGGTGTTCTATTCCGCCAGGTCGTTGTACTGTTTTACAAGTTCTGCAATACATTGTTTTCTGCAACCAAGGACTCTGTTGTCTGCCACCGTACCACACTACACCCACCCAACAAGATGTCAAGGGGATCAGAGGGAGGAACCGATTCACAGCAGGCTGGCATGAGAATGCAGCAGAAAAGTAGTATTTGGCATTCTGTATAGTAGAGTAGGGACTGACCAGAGAAGGGCTTGACACAGTTTGACTTCAAGGGGATCACTTTGATGCATTTGGCCAGAGAGGGATCTCTTTGACACAGTTGGCTAATGAGGGATCTCTTTGACACAGTTGGCCAATGAGGGATCTCTTTGACACAGTTGGCCTCAAAGGGATCACTTCGATGCATTTGGCCAGAGTGATCTCTTAGACATAGTTGGCCTCAAAGGGATCACTTCGATGCATTTGGCCTCAGAAGTATCGCTTTGATGCAGTTGGCCTGAGAGGAACCACTTTGACAAACTGGCCAGAGAGAGATCACTGTGACACATTTGGCCTCAGAGGCAACACTTTGATGCATTTGGCCAGAGTGATCTCTTAGACACAGTTGGCCTCAAAGGGATCGATTTGATGCAGTTGGCCTGAGAGGAAACACTTTGACAAACTGGCCAAAGAGAGATCACTGTGACGCATTTGGCCTCAGAGGGAACACTTTGATGAATTTGGCCAGAAAGAGATCACTTTGATACTGTTGGCCTCAAAGAGACCACTTTTTATGCAGTTGATCAGAGAAGGATCATTTTGATGCAGCTGGCCTGAGAGGGATCACTTTGAAGCATTTGGCTTCAAAGGGATCACTGTGATGCAGTTGGCTAGAGAGGGATCTCTTTGACACAGTTGGCCAGAGAGGGGTCACTTTGACACAGTTGGCCAGAGAGGGATCTTTTTGACACAATTGGCCAGAGGGGGGTTGCTTTGACACAGTTGGCCTCAAAGGGATCACATGGATGTATTTGGCCTCAGAGGGATCACTTTCATGCAGTTGACCAGAGAAGGATCAATATGAAGTATTTGGCCTCAGAAGGATCACTGTGATGCAGTTGGCTATAGAGGGATCACTTTAACCACTTTCCACTGGCCGTATGCATATGTTTTAGCCACTAACGCTGAGCGACCACATAAGTGTGGCCCTATGTAAACAACTTACTGTGCTGAGAGCGTGCTTCCTGCACCCTCCCAGTATGGTAGTCAGTGGGATCAGTAAGCTCCCCATGCATATTTGCGATCGAGAGCTTTCCAATCATGTGACTGCTGTGACAGCCAATCACAGTGGTCACACCACCTAACTGCAGGCCTCTATCTCCCAGGTTTTATAACTTTTAAAGGGCCGGCAGGCGGTCAGTGGGAAGGGGTTACTGCAGCTCGCCAAAGAGGAATCACCTTGATGTAGTCGGCCAGAGAGTGATCACTTTGATGCAACTAGCCAGCTTCAATGTGTATTACAATACACGTGACCCAAGAATCCCTGTTTTTATGCAAAAGTTTGGTACAAATATGTAAGGGTGTATAGCTGTGTGCATAGGGTTAATTTAGTATTTCCAGTGTTAACATGCGGTCACATCCCTTTAGCACCTCAGGTGTTTTATATACACTGATCAAAAAAAATGAAAAGAAGACTCTGAAAACCCATCAGATCTCAATGGGGACGAATCTCTTGCTGGATCTCTATACTGACATGGACGGGGGATGGGTGAGGAATGTAAGGATTTGATGGAAATGATGGACCTACAGAGGACTGAATTCAAAGACACCCCGAAAATCAAAGTGAAGAAATGATGCAGCAGGCGAGTCCATGTTGGTGAAATGTCATTGCAGCAACTCAGAATGGCCCTCAGTAGTCTATGTGGCCCCCACGTGCTTGTATGCATGCCTGACAACGTCGGGGGAGGGTCCTAATGAGACCACGGATGGTGTCCTGGGGGATTTCCTCCCAGATCTGGACCAGGACATCACTGAGCTCCTGGACAGTCTGAGGTGCAACCTGGGAATGTTGAATTGACCGAAACATGACATCCCAGAGGGGTTCTATTGGATTTAGGTCAGTTGAGCATAGGGGCCATTCAGTGGTATCAATTCCTTCATCCTCCAGGAACTGCCTGCATACTCTCCCCACATGAGGCCGGGCATTGTCTGCACCAGGAGGAACCCAGGACCCACTGCACCAGGAGGAATCCAGGACCCACTGCACCAGGAGGAACCCGGGAACCACTGCACCAGGAGGAACCCGGGAACCACTGCACCAGGAGGAACCCAGGAACCACTGCACCAGGAGGAACCCAGGAACCACTGCACCAGGAGGAACCCAGGAACCACTGCACCAGGAGGAACCCGGGAACCACTGCACCAGGAGGAACCCGGGACCCACTGCACCAGGAGGAACCCGGGACCCACTGCACCAGGAGGAACCCAGGACCCACTGCACCAGGAGGAACCCAGGACCCACCACACCAGGAGGAACCCAGGACCCACTGCACCAGGAGGAACCCAGGACCCACTGCACCAGGAGGAACCCGGGAACCACTGCACCAGGAGGAACCCGGGACCCACTGCACCAGGAGGAACCCAGGACCCACCACACCAGGAGGAACCCAGGACCCACTGCACCAGGAGGAACCCAGGACCCACTGCACCAGCGTAGGGTCTGACCAATGGGTCCAAGGATTTCATCCTGATACCTAATGGCAGCCAGGGTGCCTGTAATGCACCGCCTGGCAGTACCTCTAGCAACACACGGAATAGGATTCCCCAGAGCGCGGAGTCTAAGTCCCAGTCTGCTTGTTCACCAGGGCCCCTGATGGTGGAAATGGACTTGGAGCAGACAGAGACCAGGTCGCGGCCCTTGAGTACAACCACCCTTGGTAGAGGGATCCGCCAGAGGTATATTCGGGATAAGAGCCTGATGTGAAGAGGCGGATGGGTCCGTGCAGGACGGATGGATGGATGGCTGAGCAGAAGCATGGTCAGACAGGCCGGGTCGGTAACCGTGGGTACAAGGCAGCAGGCAGAGAATAGTCGGGTCACTCGCCGGGTCAGTAACAGGAGATCAGATCCAATGGGGGTATCCAAAGAGAGGTCAAATAGGCCAGGGGTCAGGGCAGGAGAAGGCAGCACGGTCAGGATCAAGCACGGTCGGCAACCATCAAATAACTGGTAACAGAAGCAGGAACAGGTAGATAAGACCATA